GGAGCCGGTGGTAGACTGCTCTTTCGAACAGTTTTGATAACCCTGAGAGAAGGCTGATTGGTCGATAGCTTGAAGGAGAGGATGGATCCCTCCCAGGTTTCCGGATGGGTATGACTTTAGCTGACTTCCAACACGAGGAGAAGTAGCTAAGTCGGAGGCACAGATTAAAAATCAGTGCCAGATGGTTGTAGAATCTGGAACTCAAGTGTTTGAGTTCCAGATTCAGGATGTTGTCGAAACCTGGGGCCTTCATGTTTTTAGATGATTTGATAAAGGCCAACAGTTTGTCAGCCGTAATCTCAGATTCCTCTGGAAAAATGTTAGGAATCTGATGAAGATTGGTTGCATTTTCAGATTCATGAGGGCTGACGATGTTTTGTCCGAGATTATAGAAGCTGACGAAGTGTTGACCTACCACGACAGCCTTCTCTTCAGGAGTTATCAGATGAACCACTGGGTCGCCGGGACGATCCAGTGGGGTCAGTGGTGGAATGGGTCTTGGCTTATTTTTAAGGATTTTCGTTAGTTTCCAGCAGGGTTTTGCACAATCTGGGAGAGAGTGGATCTTGTTAGCAAAATATTGATTTCTGAGGTCCACCATCCTGGCTTGGATGGTTTTTGTAAGACAATTGCAATGGATCTTCAAGACACGTAAACGCTGGTATTGCCTTCGGATGGAGTTACGGAGTCTGATGAGATCTTTGGTAATTCTATCAAGGTTTAGAGTATTGCTCACCTGTCTGGATACTGGCACGTGTTTTTCCCTGGCCCGGGATATCGCCTCCTCGATGGAACGCAGACACCGATCAACGTCTTCGGGCGTCTCCGGAAGGACACCGTAGTCGACAGTGGAGTCGACACAGTGTTGGAACTGCTCCCAGCTGACGGATGAACCTACTTCGGTCACCACGGAATAGTGGTCCGAACTCAGCTCCTGATGGGTCACAGGTAGCGAGATGTTGTCTCCCATGTTGCTGATGAAGATGTCTATCGTGGAGTGAACGCCAGACCGGCTCAACCGGGTGGGACAGTCCGGTGCTAATATGGCGTAGCGAGCCTCTTGCAGGTCGTCGTTCAAGATGGTGCTGTTTTGGTTGCACCGACTGTTGGCCCAAGCCTGGTGTTTGGCGGTCAGGTCACCAGCAATGATGTATTTTTCGCACCGTCGAGTTAGTTTCATGATATCCCTCCGCAGGTCTGCTGCCGACCCGTCCCTGATGGTGACTTGCTTGGGGCAGTAGGTCGCAATGATGGTGATAGGGCCGACAGAAGTGGAGACTTCTACCCCTAAAGCTTCAATGGTTTTTAGCTGGAAGCTCGGCAGAAGCCGACAGCAGATGTTTCTCCTTACAGCAATGGCCCTGAACCCCCGGAGCTGGTAGGATCATGTCTTAGAAGCCGGAAGTCAGGAAGGTAGATGTTTGCCTCCGGTTTCAGGTGGGTTTCGGTGATAACGGCAGTGTCGTTGTTTTGTTTGTTGAGGAAATCAACGAGCTCGATGATCTTGCTCTTGAGCGAGCAAGCATTCCAGTTGGCGATCTTGATGGTTTCACGGTCCATAACTTAGCATGAAGGTAGCCACAGCTTGGAGCTGGTCGGATTTGTTCTTGATGGTGTTGGTAATGTCGTGCATCTTGAGGAAGATGATCATTAGTTGCGGTGAACCACGAACCATCGTTGATTTTTGGCTGCGGTAGGGACGGTCCATCCTGACGCCAGTTTAGCCCAGGGGCTGTGGGGAGATCATGCGGCTTTGGAGCAGCGGTCGTCTCTTGGCAGTTTGAACTTGAGCGTTGATTGAGTGGCAGCGGTGGCAGTACTGTAATCGGTCGTCGAGGTATCTGTGGGAAGTTCTGGTCATTAATTTCCGACACCTTCTTGCGGCCAGGCTGGTTTCTCATCGATCCGGATCTCGATGTACTCGGTGCGCTTCAGGCAGGCCTTGCTTGTAGCTTTGTGATCAGCACCGCAGTTGGCGCAAATTGGGTTCCCTCCCCATGGACATGGAGGTTGACGGTACTGAAGCAAAGGGTTATGTTTAATTTCTTTATATTTGCAACGATGATGATTTCCTATAGTGAAACATATCACCTTATTAATGCTTCAGTATGCCTCAAACGATTAATTCTTGGTTGTTAATAGAACTTCCTTGATGAAATCGGCTGCTTCATGCAGACTGAGCAATTCTGATTATAATATCAGATTTGTTCTGTATACAGAGGAACTGGGAGGGCTTATTAGAAACTTCTCACCAATAAAATAATGATCTTCTAGTAAATTTTGCACATAATTTTAATAATATTTTATTTTTTAAGCATATTATTTTTGTTACAGTCAATTAGCATTAGCATACGATATAAGAGGTTTAATATTACTTGCTCGTTTTTGCGTAAAATAATCAATATTTATTTTACTTGTAATTACCTTTGAAAGTTATTTTCAAGTTTTTTTTTGTGATCTGAAAATTTTCCCAGTTTGGTTAGAAGTTTCGAAGCTAACGCATGTCCACAGGCCTAATAGAAAGATAGGCAGAAAAAGTGAAGAATGGTTGCATGCAGGGCTGCTTCCACTTACTTGCTATAGATGAGTGATTTTCAGAGTTTTGAATTCGTTAGATGTTGTAATGGAGATTTGTGTTAATGGATGCGGGAGGGGATTGAAGGGCGGGTGTTTGACGCATAGAGCTTATCAATTTCGCTTTCAGAGTGTCGCAGTCAGCGGTTTTATGATTCGTGAGCGCTCGCGATTCGTAGAATCGTTGATTGTGACTGCAAGTGGATTTGGCGGGTTTTGTGTGTTAGACGCTTGCTTTTTGGCCTCTTTTTGTGTCTAACATGTGCAGAGTATCATTATAGCGTCTAATGGTTTTGAGATTCCTGGTTGCGTGAAATACATTTGTGAGAATATCTTTTTGAGATTTAGTAGTCACGTTTTGTTTGTAGTTTATATTTTATTTCTTTCATGTAATTATGGTAAATAATAGTTATTCAATAATAGATGGTTCATCCATATATTCGTACCTTGACGCGAAACGCTGTGGATTATGAGATGCCCGATGACCCTGGAGGGATCGATTTTGCTTACTGAGCAGAAAATCATGGATTTAACTCCAAGCTCTTCCACAGCACAATGAGTCGCCACCATCATTTGTATATTTGATATTGAACATTAACCTCGGAAACTATTTGCATATTAAGCGAAAACGCAGTCCTGTATTGTCGCGAAGCGTTATAGTTCTGAGATGCTCGATGACCCTGGAGGGATCGTTTTTGCTTACTGAGCAGAAAATCATGGGTTTAATCCCAAGCTCTCCGTCATGACTCTTAAAATCCATGATCACTAAACAAAATGAATATGTTCTTTCGATAGCCGGCTATCGAGAGATTAAATAAACAAAAAATAAACAATACATCCTTTTGGTTGCATCGCCAACTTGAGGTGAATCCTAACCGAATACCCTACCCAACCCTCCAACTCCACACTTGATGCAACGGCTGACCATGTGGCAATTCTTCGTTCCATGCCCGAACAGCAGGCAGTTCGAGCATTGGGTGACTCCACGGCTGACCGGCTTGTATCGCTCCCACTAACTTCGCCACAATGTTGAACAGGACGCGGATGCCATGGAGGCCCATCAAACCCCTTTTTGAGGAAATTTTTTTTGACACCAAAAAACGCTCCAAATCTCGATTAGAGCCGTATTAACGGAGATAAATCGATTTAAAGATTTTCATACCCGCCAGCCTGAAAAAATTGGGTTGGGACATGTTTTTGAGGAATTTTTTTTTTTTTTAGACCATAGAGATCGGAGATAACTCCATAAGATCTGCAGGGAAATACCAAGATATGTTCAAGGAAATGACAAGAGATAGTAAGGGATATTCCAACAGAACTTCAGGGTAGTTATAATAACAGCAAATCAGGCTCTTATAACAGAATAAGCTATGCACATACAACTTAGCAATAAAATAATGAGATATGGATAGTAAATTGATATTATTGAGCTCTAGTTTTGCTATTCTCCTCTACCCGGGTTATTATTTTCTTTTATCCTATGATAAATTCATGTCGACATTGAATGTAACTGGAGCACAAAACTAATCTTCTTCTGCTGAAATTAAACGAAAAAGTAATATCCCAAATGCTTGCCATTCTTTCATTCACCAAACAAGGGATGCTAGATCCAGATAGTATATTCGCACAGCACCGGTAAAGCCATATCTTGGAATCCATTCACAAATAGATAGATGAAGAATGCCTCCTTCGCCATGATTATTAACGTTATTCTCCGATCTGCTATATTTGAATCAAGCCTCAAAAACCGATATTCATCGCAGCTCGTATAATGTTCAAATTTCGATAAAACTGCCTCCCGCACCAAAACGATGATGCCTTCAGCAGTGTATTTATTCATTATTTTTCACAGAACTCGAGAGCCATGTCGCTATTCAACCATCAGCACCACCATTACGAGAGATATCCAACACGTGTCTTATTAATAAATAGCTAAAATTTATATGGTCCCTGTACCGCACTCGCCGAGTAGAGAAGCTGCTCGCTGTTGCTGGCTGCCGGTCGTGCTGTCCTGTTTAATGGAACTGCTGTTGGACTTGCCACCGTGTTGCGCTTAGCTTTGACTTTTGTCCCCATCGCGAGCTGCTGGCTGATGCTGGACTCTTTCATACTCGTCCATTCATGGCATCCGCTCTGTATCCGCTCTCGTGTGACCATTAGCTGGTTCCGCTATGGGAATAATTTATTGATAGCAATAAAAAGCGTTATAAATAAGGAAATAGGACCCTCCGCCAGCCAGCCGGAAAGTCCGGAAAAGCGCTTGGTGAGTTGTCCCACAAGGGTCTGTTTCATAAAGTTATTACTGCGAGTTAATTGAATTGATGTTGTCCTCTCTGTTGTGAAATATAATTCCGAAGCGAGCTACGACGAGTGTTTATGCAAACTGCTTTACGATGCCTTTCTCGACAGTTGCAATCGCAGATAGAATGTCTCCCGCCAGCCAGCTGGCAGTAAGACAACCAAATTGCATGAAAGCACCACTTCTTTGGGACCGGAAGACCACGGGCATCCCCTTAATGTTTTAATTATAGTTGCTACCCTCTGAGCGTAGCAATCGGGTGCCGGTGCCGGTCCCGTTCCCGGTGGATGGAGCACTCAGTGCAAGCAATCGGATAATCCCAACTGTGGATAGTGTTTCCACGGTGTCTTGCTTGCTGTTGAATATGGTGGCAGTGTGGCACTCGTTCCTTGGTGGGTTTGTTGGCTGGCAGAAAAGAGTTTTTCCCTGGAACCATTGGGGAAGAAAATGAGCGCTCCGAGCCGTGTAGCATCTGCAAGGAAGCGCCTCTGACAAGATCCGCTTAGTGGGTGCATTCGAGTGTACGGAATGATTCTTAATTGAAATTCAAAATGCGTTTCATAATTAAATGTTTGTCGTCACCGGGAACAGTGGATTGCGGATGCGAAAGCATTAAAATGCGAAGAGGAAATGACATTTCGAAACCATTTTAAGTAATCATAATAATAATAATAATAATAATAATAATAGGATGATTGCCGAAGATTAGGACAATGGCAACCACAATAGAGCAGAAGAATAGCATTTTTCCTCTATTAGTAAATGTTTTTCTTCATCTTGCTTTAAAAAAAATAGTTTTATTTCGGAACAAACATGCACTGTTGCAAGCAATTTCAGATTTCCGATTTCATGAGCTTGAGCATGAGCATGAGCATTAACACTCCGAATACGGTGCAACGTACGGAGTACGAAGCCTCCGAAAAACGTGTAACGGCAAGTTTGCAATGGCACAACTTAGCCATTTCTTAATGAATTTAAAAAAAATTGTGGTACCTTCAGAATTCCTAGGGTTCCTAAATGATTTTGATTGCAAAAAACTTGAAAATAAAATCGTCTACTTTTTTAAAAAGCGAAAAGAGTTGTTACACGTTTTTTTGAAAGGTGTGTTTGTAGGGTTTTGCAAGTGGCGCAAGATCTGTTATTTAGATTAATGGGCAAAAATGTTCACAATTAGCCAGAATACAGTCATGGTTCCTATATATAGATCCTGGAGACAACGGAACGATCCTTGAAAAATCCGGAACATCCGTAAAAATGGTCAATCCATGATCCTGATCCTAGAACTCTGCGGTTTTTTTTTTTTGAAAACATTAGGAACTGTGATATAAACAAATATTTGGGGTCGTGACATAAACATGTACCTGGATGGCCATGGGACCGTCCTCCGGAAGATCCGGAACATCCGTAAAAGTAGTAAATCTACGATCCTGATCCTAGAGCTCCGCGTTTTTTTATAAACATTAGGAACTGTGATGTTAGAAAGAATTTGGGCTTGTGACATAAACATGAACCTGGATGTCCATAGGACCGTCCTCCGGAAGATCCGGAACATCCGTAAAAGTGATCAATCCATGAAACTGATCCTAGAGCTACGCGTTTTTTTTTTTAACATTAGGATCTGTGATATAAGAATGAATTTGGGTCATGGACCTTGATGACCATGAGATCGTCCTCCGGAAGATCCGGAACATCCGTAAAAGTGGTAAATCCACTCTCCTGATCCTAGAGCTCCCCTTTTTTCTAAACATTAGGAACTGTGATGATAGAAAGAATTTGGGCTTGTGACATAAACATGAACCTGGATGTCCATAGGACCATCCTCCGGAAGATCCGGAACATCCGTGAAAGTGGTCAATCAATGAAAATGATCCTAGAGCTCCGCAGTTTTTGAAAAAAAAACACTAAGAACTGAGATGATAGAATGAATTTCGGGTCGTGACATAAACATGGACCTTGATGGGTATGGGATCGTCCTCAGAAAGATCCGGAACATCAGTGAAAGTGGAAAATTCACGAAACTGATCCTAGAGCTCCGTGGTTTTCTTGAAAACGTTAGGAACTGCGATATTAGAATGAATTTGGGATCGTGACATAAACATGGACCCAGATGGCCATCGGACCGTCCTTCGCAAGATCCGAAAATTCCGTAAAAGTGGTCATTGTATGAAACTGACCCTAGAGCTCCACGGTTTTTTCGAAATCACTTGGAACTGTCATATATAACTTAATTTGCGGTCGTGACATAAACATGTACCTAGAAGGCCATGGGATCATCCTCCGCAAGATCTAGAACATCTTTAAAAATGGTTTAAAACTCATCCTAGAGTTCTACGGTTTTTTCGAAAGCATGTGGAACTGTGATATAAGAAAGAATTCTGGGTCATGACATAAACACGTACCGGAGACGAATCAGCCCAGGGCTGAAAGTCTCCTTAATAAAGATAAAAAAAACATGGACCTGGATGGCCATAGGACCGTCCTCCGGAAGATACGGAACATCCGTAAAAGTGATCCAGAGGTTTCTTATATCACAGTGTTTAAAAAAGAACTGCAGAGCTCTAGGATCAGTTTCACAGTATGATAAATTTACGGATGTTTCGGATCTTTTGGAGGACAGTCTCATGGCCATCCGGATCCATGTTTATGTCACGACCCTAAATTCTATCTTAAATCGCAGTTCCAAGAGTTTTCGAAAAAAAAACCACCGTTTTTTCACAGTTTCATCGATGATCCACTCTTACGGATGATCAGGATCTTCTGGAGGAAGTTCCAATGGCCATCCAGGTGCATGTTGATGTCTCGACCCTAAATTCTTTCATATATCACAGTTAGAAGTGTTTTCGACAAAACTACGGAGCTCTAGAAACAGTATCATGGATGGACAATTTTTACGGATCTTCCGGAGGACTGTCCCATGGTCATTCGGTTCCATGTTTATGTTAAGACTCTAAATTCATTCTAATATCACAGTTCCACGGTTTTTCGTTCTTGGATCAATTTTATGGCTTGCAATCGGGCTAAGGCCTTGTTGTCCTCTGTTGTCCGAAGAAGTCGTATCCACTCTACTCGATCCATGGCCAGACTTTGCCAGCCTCGTAGTCTGCGAAGGGTCCGCAGGTCGCCTTCTACTTGGTCGATCCACCTTGCCCGCTGCGCGCCTCTTCTTCTTGTTCCTGTTGGGGCGCTTTCGAGAACCATTTTCACTGCGTCGTCGTGCGACATTCTTACGACATGCCCAGCCTACCGTAGTCGCCTAATTTTTGCAATGTGAACGATGGATGGTTCTCCCAACAGCTGGTGCAATTCTTAGTTACGGTCTCGTGGCTGTAGACGACCACCGGTCTAATCAGCGTCTTTTAGATAGTCAACTTCGTGGCGAATTTTATTCGACCGGAGCGTACTCCGGAGGCCAAAGTAGGCACGATTCCCTGCCATAATGCGTCTTTTAAAATTCTCTGCTGGTATCATTTTCGACGGTCACCAGTGATCCCAAATACACGAACTCATCGACCACCTCGATTTCGTCACCGGCAATCTGAACTCGGGGTGGGAGGCTAACATTGTCTTCCCTAGAACCTCATCTTTTCATGTATTTTGTGTTTTATGCGTTGATGGCAAGTCCAATCCACCTAGCTTCAGCTTTCAGTCTGATGTACGTTTCCGCCTTCGTCTCAAAGTTCCGTGCCATGATGTCGATGTCATCGGCGAAGCCAAGAAGCTGGATGGACTTCCTGAAAATCGTGCCACTCGTGTTTATCCCTGCTTTTATGATCACACATTCTAACGCAATGTTGAATAGCAGACACGAAAGTCCATCACCTTGCCGTAACCCCCTTCGAGATTCAAAGGGACTCGAGAGTGTCCCCGATACTCGAACAACGCACATCACTCGATCCATCGTTGCCTTGACCAATCGCGTCAGTTTATCTGGAAATCCGTACTCGTGCATAATCTGCCATAGCTGATTGTAGTAGATAGAGTTAGAGTTGAATAAATAATGAGTAGAATCGAGTGAGCGTGAAGCGTGATAGTCCGTATGGAAACGGAATCTCATTGGTTAGAGAATTTTGATAGGTTAGCAGGTATAAATATGAAGTACCTAAGCTCGTTGAAGTCATATGACTGTTGAGCAGTTCAGTCGATTTGAATTCTCTCTAGTTTCGTTCGTTCGTTCGCAAGTCGAATTAGCTCCGCGTTGTGTAGTGACGCTCTCGCTGACCCAGCCATAGGTAAGAAATCGCGCGGTAACGCGAGTGCCGGTTTACCGGGAAAACAGACTCTCCCAGGAGACGGCGCGACCACCGAGCCAGCCCAGAAGAAGCAGAAGAAAACCCCATTGCCCATCCCGACAGGCGTTGCGGACCCGCAGCCGGGGCCTCCCGGAACTAAACGACCCAGACCTGAAGACAGCAGCGCCACCGTATCAGCAGCAAAAAAGCTGCTGAGCAACAATCCGTTCTCCGCCCTGCAGAACGGAGCCCAGCCGCAGTCGGACCCTGAGACGGTGCCGAAAAAAGTAAAGTTGCCACCCTTCTATGTGAAGGGCTTCCCTCCCGGGCTATGGGAGCAGCTGGATTTCTACATTAAGCAGGGCCTTCGCTGCACCATTCAACGGTGCACGGAAGGCTACAAACTGATGGTCCCGGCCGAAAAACACTTCAACGCAGTTCAGGCCCTCTTGGACAGAATGAAGCTGGAGTACTTCTCCCACGACATCGAGGCCACCAAGCCGCTGAAAGTGGTGCTGCGCGGGCTCCACGACATGGACACCACCACCTTAATGGACGAGATTAAGGCGAACGGCCTCAAGCCGGTCGAAGTCCACAAGATGACCCGCAGCAAGGCCATCAAGTATCGTGACCAGCTCTACCTGGTCCATCTGGAGAAGAACTCCACAACCGTGAAGGATCTCCAGACGACACGCACACTGTTCCACATCGTAGTGAAGTGGGAGCGGTATAAACCCACCCACCGTGGCGTCACTCAGTGCTCGAACTGCCTATTGTTCGGGCACGGCACCAGGAATTGCCGCATGGCCAGCCGCTGCATCAAATGCGGCAAAAACCACAAGATCGACAACTGCGACAGCATCGAGGAAGCCACTCCCACATGCGCCAACTGCGGTGCCGCCCACAAGGCCACGAGTAAGGC